ATCAATTTTCTGCCACCGAGCAAAGTGCTTGAAACCTTTGTCTTGCAAGTATGGAAACTGACATTCCCATAAAAATACAGAACTACTTACCTTTCTAGGTAGGTGACAATATTGGGGTTCCTCATTTCCCTCATGACCAGGATTTCTTTCAATACTTCCTTGCAGCGCTGGTGCTGGAGATTAATTTCCTTTACGGCCACCTACAATGACGTTGAAAGCCGTTAGGAACAGACATTACAAGAGCCTCTTCCTCCATGCACTCACGGGCCAGGATGCCTTGTCACCTCGGTGAAAAGGGACTCTAAAGCATCAGCCACAATGTGCTAACAGCACTCTCAGCCCTTGCAGACTCCTCCGTGAGACCTCCTTTCTCACTACTCTTATCATTTACACGCGTTTTGCAAGCCAAAGGAATTTTGCTTCTGTGAAATGAAACTCAACTTGTGGAAAATAGGTTAGCATTTCTAGGGGATTTGATCAGTGTTTCAGAAACTGCTGCCATTCTTGATTGTGCTCCAAAGTAAATACACCAATCCATTACAGAGAAAATGCTGTCTGAAAAAGAACAACTCCAAGGCAACTCAAAGGAAAGTTAACATCCTAGCACATCCTAACTTCTTCTGGATTTTGCATCTCTGAAGAGCATTCCCCAACACGGTTTAGATGTGTAATGATTGAGTGCATTAAAAAATGAAGAATCCTTTCTGTGGACCACTACGGATGCACTCCAGGTGATAAGCAGGGCTTAGGGCTTTCAGACTCCTTGTAGACATCCCTCCAAGTGCAGTTGCTGAGCACAGCACTGCAGGTGGATAAGGAGCTACCAGGAAGATGGAGTTGTATTTGCTGAGAGCCAGAAAGGAGAATTCAGGACTCTGAATGGTTAGCCCCAAAGAGCATGGGACTCTCCAAGACACCAGCATGTCAGTTCAGCACAAAAAGCATCTCTGTAATGGAATGTCAGCAACAAAGGACCAACACAAGGCGGTATTACTTAAGGCTCTTCATCAACTTCTTCTCACTGATCCGTGTGCCAGTGTCTGTGTGTGTGTGTGACCCTGGCTCCCTAGGACTGCAAGGCAAAAGTGCGCTCCAGACAAGGCCTCTCCATCTTTAGGTCTTTTCAAAGTGTACCTCGTGATGGGAAACAATGGCAAATCCTATCTGTGTCTCAACCTGGGCTTAAGAGCAATTGGGCCAGAATGACGGCTGCTGCCATCAGCTAATCTCTGCACACTTATCCAGTCAGTCCAAGACAGCATGGTCTTCTTGGAAAGACACCACTGCCATCCTCACATTGATTCAGAATGCGAGACAAAGTCTGTCCACCATGCATTTTCCAGCCTGCCTCTAGGCAGCCTTTGCAGCAAAGACCGGTAACACAAAGCTCTGGCCACAGATGACATCCCAAGGGAAAGCGCTCAAGAGCTGCGAAATCTGCAAGGGCTGTTGGCACTTACCGCTTGTCCTGTGGCAGCATCCAAGGCCTTATAAACGGTTCCAAAACCCCTAGGAGCAGAACAGCAGCAAGAACAGAGGAGCTGTTCAGTGCTGAGAAGCAAAAGGCAGCCCAGGCAGGAGCTCTCTGCTGCCTGGAGCGTCCCTCAAACACCAGCCTTTGTCTACTCTTCAGACAATACCACAGCAGCCCAGCAACCCTCTGCCATGCAGCTTGTCCAAGAGCAAACTGAGTCCAACAGGAAGAAAAAAGAGCTGCTACAAATCTCAAATGTACACACTAGACTATGGATGTGAGGGTTTGCTTTGCCTCTTCCTTTTTGCGCTTGTGCGTGTGGGGCGCCTTTCCAAGCAATGAAACACACACAGTCCTGTTGCACTCAGAGCTCTCTTTTGATTCTGCCTGCCAAACTCAGGCAGCGCCACACAGCCTGTCTTATTGTCCTGAGCACTGAAAGTTGTGTTCAGCAAAATACTGGAAAGAAATGCTGCTGAGAGCTGCTGTCTGACGGCTCTCAGGGGGGAAGCTGCTCTCTCAGCTTTTTCTTCCTTCAGTTGTGGGGCCATATTACTTGGAATCAGGCAAAACCATGTCTGCTGGGAAAATAAGGAATCTCGTGCCACACACTTGAGGGACAGGCAAGTGCCTCCTTGAGGGCAGGCAAGACATTGGTTGCCAGCATGCAGTTATCTTTGATGATGCCTTGTGACCAGTACTGAGACAGGGACAATCTAAAGCCAGGGTCTGAAGATGCTTGCAGCTTGCCTGACTTCCCTCTTGATATTCCAGCAGCCACGTACATGACCCATGGTTCTGGAGGAGTAAGCGTGGCTGAACTCACCCTCTGCCAATAATCTTCCATCCAGTGTATTTCTTTTCTGGATCTGCCCCGCTCACCACACTCCCTGAAAGAAAGAAAATGCAAGAAGCAAACTTCAAAACAGAGATCCTGACTTCCAGTGGATCAGAATCTCAGCTCCACTCTCAGGGGCTCGGAGCAATTTCTGGTCGGTTGCCTAACAACAGTGTCAACAAGAACAACAAGAGCAGCCGCAGTAAGAAGACAGGCAGCTCTGTAACACACGTGGCCTGCACAGAGTCTGATTCTGCACACTCCTCTGAAGAGGAGACTAAGCCCGCGGAGAAACCGTCAGAGCAGACAGAGACCAGAAAAGAACTGGCACCGTGGCAAGTGCTTGTGGTCCACAAAGGGGAAGGAGGGCTGAAAAATCAGGACCCTTCATTCTCCTGAGAGATAACACTCTCTTGTGAGGTTCAACAAAAGGTTTCAGAATTCCAAGATTTCAATGCACCCTGCCATCTGGGATGAAGTTTTATCAACAGCTGCTTTTTGCAGAGCTGAAGGAATATTGCAAAGTGAAATCCAGGAGAGGAGGGGATTTCCTCTACCTCGCAGCAGTTTGCCTAAAGAATGCCTTGACATTTTCAGAGAACAGCAGCTCATGCTGTGCTACATCCAAAACAATGGCTGTAAGAATTAGGACCCTCTTCTTTTACGAGCAGGCTAAGTTCTGAAGATGATTTTGCCCATTCCCCATTTAGTGAAGAACAACAAGTCCATGTCTTCAGCCTGGGCTGCAGCAGTCACTGGCACTGCCCTCGGCCCCTTGGACACCAGCCACGTGCCCCATCTTCCCCAAGGGCACAGCCCAGACGGGTAACAAGGACAGTGCCGCTCCTCAGGCGCTGCCGTGGCTCAGACACCTGCACAAACGAGATGCTGATCCTCTGACGAGTCCAGGCAAAGCTGCAGCAACGCGGTGGCTGCTGAAACCTCACAGCTAAGGAAGGCTCCAGCCCCTGCAGTCACAGCAGCCATCAGTGGCAGGGCAGGTATGACCAAAACCTGGGCAGAGCCCACAAATGGCCACTGACAGGCACTGTGAAGAAGCCAGAGCCAGACTGAGCACTGCTACAAGCTGTTGACCCCACTGGAGACACAACATGGGTGTCACTGAGTTCAGAGCCAAGCAGGAGTCCATCCATTCACCTCTTGTCCCTACAGCTGATGGCCGACACTGAGTAAACTGGGCTCTGTTCTGTACCTGCCCGCTTCTTATTCTCTGACAGCGCTGCACTGGCAGCTATGACCAGTTGCAAGGAGCAACTGAGTTGCACTGCAGAGTCACCAAGGCCTTGCTGTGCTTTCCAAGAGTGCAGGGATTGAGGCCAATCCTTACTATCCCAAGAGTATTTACCGGCTGGGCTTTAGCCCTGACAAAGTGCCTTCTACTGGAGGAAGATGCAGCAGAGGGGCTGCAGGCTTCCTCCTGAGAATTGCCTGCAGGGCAGTTTTATCTGGCCCTGCCACCTAGAAGTGTCTCTTGATGCGTCTCCCTAGGCATACAACTGAACTCTCCAAGAGGGATTGGAAAAACAAATTGTGTTTTTCTTTGTTGGCTGCACTGTGAAAACACCTCTTGCTCTCTGATTCCCAGGGATTGTTCTAAGAATACAATTTCTTAACATTTGGGGCGTGCTGAAAAGACCCCTTCCTCTGTTGTTTTGCTATCACCTGATGCTCCTTCCAAGGAGGTCACACTAACAAAAATGTAGAATTTTTATCCAAGCAAACTGTAGAAGGAATAGTAGAAGTCATGAAAACACCACCAGTATGAAACCAGCCCCACAGCCAAACAATTTCTCTGAAGTCTTTTGTCTCCGAATGCAGTCCAAAGGCAATCTAGGAAGCCAACTACTATGATCAATATGGCCAGACCAGCACACACAAGCTGACTCAGTCATTGGCTAGGTTGCAGCCTTCTGCTGCTCAGGAAACAATCCCTGCTTTTGCCTTTAGCGCACATGGAACCTCAGGCAAAGGCCACCCACACCCAGCTGCCCTCAAAGGCAAAAGGAGTGCCCCAAAATGCTCCCTGGCTGCCTCCAAGCACAACAATGGCTCCTGTAGGGAGTCCAGAATGTCTCCCCGACACCAGGGTCAGGAGGAAGATGCGCTACAGCTCATGCTGAGGCACACACCCCATAATACACTGCTGGATTGCACAAGAAATCCCCAGGACTTACTCAGCAGCCTCAGGCACTGCTTCTCGCTCTCCTGGCCGGAGCGGAGCCAGCTGCTCCTGCTCGGGTTCTCAGGCTGCGGAGGGGAGGCTTCTTCGGAGGGTGCTGCTGCAGCGGCGCCTTCAACGGCAGAGCCCTCGTCCATCTGGGACAAGAAATTTGTTTGTGTCAGAAAAGTGGCTGGCAGAGATGCCCCTGACAGCACATTTCACAGGCATGCCATCAGGAACAACACTGGTGTTTGGCTGCACACTGAGCTGTCAACTCTTCCACCTCAAGTCAAAGCCAAACAAGCAGTCAGAGACTACAGCTTGTCACAGCCAGCCATAGTAGAGATGGTGAAAGGGAAAGAAGACCTTAAAATTTCACCCCGTTCTGAGACCTGCATTCGCCATGGAAAGGGACAACTTGTTCAGAATATGCATGGGTCACCATGTTCACCTGAGCAAACTCCTCAATAAACAACGTGGGCACTAAGAAGCCAGCAGAAATACATTCACAGGATTGCTGGCCCACCAGCCAAAGCACTAGCTTTGATGCCCAGGGCAGCAAAGCTGTGCTTCAGTGGCCCAGTAAGTGTTGTGCTGGCGAGCTGCAACGCAGACCACAGAGCTTGGCAGTCAGGGGCCTTGCCCCCATCCACCTGCTGCTCTGCAGGGGAAAGGTGAGAAGAGCAGAGACCACTTGTTGCATGACTGCAGTGCCTACTGCTCTCTCACTCACCTGCTGTTGTTCTGCCAGCCTGTACTGCAGCTGGATCCTGCACATCCTTTCCATTTCTTCTATGCACCTCTCCTCCACTGCCTTCATCACGCTCCAAGCTTTCTGCAGCTCTGCCTGCATCTTGTCCTTGATATTCTGTCAAGAAAAGTCTCACTAGCTCCTGCCATCATGCTCAGCCTTCTCAATTCCAAGTCTCGTAGGCACTTCCATTCTGCTTCTCCACCCAGCTCTCACTCTTTCACCTCAACTCTTCTTCCTGGTGCACAGCGCTGGAGCCTGCCCGGCTCTGTGCTCCCAGTGCCTGCAGTAGTCCTTGCCTCCCCTTTCCTGAGATGTCCAGCTCATGCCCCCATCACTGCCCTTCCCTCTGCACCCTGCCTGGTCAGGCTCACCTGCCCATTCAGACGCTCCGCATTCAGCTGCTGCCTCAGCTGCTCCAGCTCCTGCCGGCTTTGCTCTAGCTCCCATTGCAGCTGCTGCACCTTGGCTAAGACAGCAGCATTCTCACCCTGGAGCTGCACAGGAACAAAGAGAAGACGCCTTTCAATGTCCCACACACCACTTGTGTGGCCACCAAGATTGAGGTGCGCACGCTTTCCAAAAGCACTTTGTTCTCCTCCTCATGTTCACCACGGGCCAGCTAAGAGGCAGTCCCACTCAGACAGACAGTGTCCACAGAAGCAGTGCCCATAAGGAGCCCAGAGGAGACCAAAGCAACACACAAACTCTCTTTTCACACTCTGTGCTGCCTCTTGACTGGCTTTGGTTTCTATCTTTTCTTGTTCAGGTTGCCTGATGGCAACATCCTGCTTCATCTCAAGCAGCCTTTTCTCCTGCTCCCTCTGTACCTCTGCCAGGAAGCTTTCCCGTTCCTCCAGCATCGCCTGCGCCTCCAAGCGCTGCCGTTCCAGACATTGCTTCTGAGGAGAGGAAGAGACACTTCCAGATGAAGTCCCAGCCGTGCTCCCCAAAGAAAAAAAAATGACAGCTTCATCCCTCCCACAAGCCCCCACCTAAAGAGTCCCCAGTAGTGGCTTTGTGCCCTCCAGCACTTCTAACCAGGAACTTCACAGGAGGGTCAGCAGGTGGAAGGAAAGGAGATTCCGCCTTCCTTCCCCACTCTGAAGGCTGCCTGTTTCCTAGCCCCTGTCTCCTCAGGATTTCTGCCTGCTCTCACAGGCTGTCTTCTCAAAGTGCCGCAGCCCTAGGATCAAGGAAAACCTGCAGGTGGACTGCAGCATGAGGAGGAAGCCAGCACCCCAATGCCCTAGTCACAAGACAGGCCACCAGCTGGAATACCAGCAACACGGGGCCTGTTGCGTATGCTTCAAGCCCAAAGGGGAGACTCTCTGTCCACCGTGGAAGGACAGAATGCAAGGAACCCAGTTGCTGGGACTGCAGAGTGCAGCAAGGTCAGCAGCTGCCTGCTGCATGGCACCAGGCTGTGGGCAAGATCCTTCGCTGCCATGCTTTGGGTGGCAACCACCCAGCTCTCTGGGGAACTTGGCTTACACCCAGCCTGAAAGCGAGGCTGCAGGTACTGTCCCGGCACCATCCTCTTGGTCTTCACAGGCTTTCTAGTAGGAGCCCTTGAAGCCCCCTGCTGTGTGTAGCCCAGTAATGTGTAGACTACAGCAGATGCTTGCAGCCATGTCACCCAGGCTGCTCTTCTGCTAAGCCAGCCCACCAAGTTGGCCTGAAAACTTCCGTGCATATTGTCGCTTACCATTTCTTGCTGGAGCTTCCTTTTTTCCTCTTTCTGAGCAGATTGCCAGTGTCTGAGAGCCTTGCAGCACTGCTCTTCTGCCCAGCGGAGCTCTTGAGCCATTTCTTCACATTGCTGCTTGCTGAGAGATCTTACAGCTTGCAGCTCCTGACGGAGGCCCTTCACATCCTCTGCAAACATGACAAACGGCAACAGTCAGAGACTACACAAGCGGAGACTCTACTGACCTTAAGCCCTTTCAGTCTCAGGCAAGGAGGGACCTGTGCTCAGTTCCCTTCCTCCTCAGGAGCCCTGTGGACAGAGCTGCCTTTGGAGCAACTGCACTAGGCTGGGCCATCACCAGAAACAAAGTACACCAGGCTCTCACCGAGTATCACCTCCTGGGCCCGTGTGGCCGTGCGCACTTGGGCTTCCAGACGGCTCCTGGTGATCTCCAGCTCCGATACGTGCTGCTGAGCCTGCAGCAGGCTGCTTTGCAGGCTCTCCTTCTCTGACCTACAAGGTGTGAAGATGAGGAGAAATTGTTCCTGGCACACAGGGGCAGTTTCTCCAGTTGGACATACCTTCAGTTACATATCCTGAGCATGGAAAAGGGCATGCATGGAAACTCAGCTCCAGCAAGATTGTTTCTGTTACTTAAAATAGCAAAGCAGGACCATCCAGGTGGTTGGCCAGCTTTTCCTCATGACCTAGGCCAGCGCAGAAAGGCCAGCTGAGTTTGAGCTCAGCAGTCAGTGCTCAAATTGCTGTTGCCAGACACAGTCCTCATGGGTGGCTGTGCCCACAAAGTCTCTGCCAACAAGCAAAAGCCCAGCCTGTGCTCAGAGCCCTGAGCTCATCAGCCCTTCCAAGTCACTCTGCAGGGGGACAGAAGCCAGTGTTCTCCTGAGCACTGCCTCCTCAATGTTTACTGTTATTCCTAGTGCACGTAGAGATACTTTGTTTACCAGATGCTCTCAAAGTGACTCAAAGGGACTAAAGGAATGATATATGAAAGCTCCACCTTCTACAAGTGTGAGTAAGAAACCAGAACTAGGTTTTATCCAAATTGGTTGGCACTGTCTTGGAGGAGGGATGTCAGGTATCCTGCCATTTCAATTACTGGATTTTCATGAACAAGAATGCTTGCTCCCTTGATTTTTGGTAAACTGAGCCAGCAATGCCCAAATGTCTTGATACTCTTTAAGAAGGGGGCTGCCTGAGGACCTTGACAGGTAACAGAGGTGGGTGGACAAGTGCTCAGCAAGAATCCCTGGACATTGTCGAGAAGCCACAAGACCTTTGCCTTCTTCTGCTGCTCCATTGTAAGCAACTCCAGGTTCCTGCACCATAACTGACAAGAGTTATGTCAGAAGGGTCTCAAGATTATCAGCTCAACCCTGCAGCTTTCACCTGAAGCATCAGCATCCTACTGATAACATTCACATGTAAGAGCCTTGAATTCTGAAAATGCCATGTCCAACTACTTGGCAAAGAAAGATTGAAGTGAAGATGCACTGAAGGAGAAACCAAAGCCTGTGGGAAATTCCTGATATCAGCAAACATCTGCACAGTTTCCCTAGTACTCATATCAGTGCCTAGATGGCTTGCTTTGCACATGGCCCAGGAATGTGCAAGGGGGTCCCAGGCGGGCGCCCAGAAGAGCTTTGACAGCTGGAGCTGTCAGAAAAGTAACACTCAGGTGACAGTATCCTTTTCTTTTTTCTCTTGTCTCTTCACTTCTCAGACAGAGACACATCTGCAGTGCAAACAGGAGGCAGTAAATCCTGACTTAATGCTCACCCCCTTTGTCATTCCAGACCCTCAATAATGTCCCACCCAGGTGCTCCTCCCTGCCCTTACCTGGCCTCTGCCAGCTGCTCTGAAAGGCCTCGTAGCTCCCGCTCCGTGGCTGCCAGTCGGGCTTCCAGGGCAGCGTTCTCTTGTGCCTGTGCTGCCTTGTCTCTGCACCCCCGGGGCAGTGTGTGCCCTTGGCGAGAGAACTCCTGGAGCAGCTTCTCCAGACCCCTGTGGGCTGGCCGCTGCCGGCGGCAAACCTGGACGTGGAGGGGGCACCATTTTTCAAGAGGAACAACAACAGCACAGTCTCAGTCTTGGCTTGCTGCCAGAAGCAGCCTTTGGGGCGGTCTTGCTAGGGGCAGCTCCCTGTCCCATAAGTGCTGCCTAGGAATAAGGTGAGCGTACCTTTGGCACCGCCAGAGGAACCTCTTCCTTCAGCAGGTTCCTCGCAAGCTCTGGTTCCTCTGCTGTCTCTGCTGCCACTTGCAAGGCCCTCTCTCGTGAGGAGTGGCGCCTGCTCTCAAATGCAGCCACCTCCTTCCCTCTACAACAAGGGGACAGACAAGCAAGCCTTTAATTGAAACACAGTCTCCTTGCAAGAAGACCAGGACTACACACCATGTCCCTCACAGGGCAGTCTCAGGGCCTTCCAACAGCCCTCTACTTCCACCTCAAGAGAGTGCTGCCATTCCCTCTCTAGACCACCATCTCTCTTTGTCATTTCTGCAGGTGAAAGAATCACCAGGGAGGAAGTCAAATTAGCTTTCAGAAGCCACCAAACATTTCCAGAATGCTCAGGTACTCTCAGCTTAGCAGCTTCCTGCCTGCTAGTGCTCCTCTCTGATACAGTGGATACCGGACTTGCAAAAGTTCCTCTTTGGCTAAGAGAGGCCTGGTAAGTCCAGATGAGCACTCCCACAATTACTCTTGCTTTCACTAGCGCAACAAGGAAAGAGCCCGCAAGCTGTAGCCTGGGGAGAACGTGGGTACAAATTTCCAATCCAATAATCAAAGGATCCCAAGATGGTTTAGCCTGGCAGGGACCCCAGGGAGCCTCTAGGCCCATCTTCAGCTCCAAGCACTTGGAGTCAGCTATGGCATCTGGACAGGCCGCTCAAGGCCCTATCCAGCTGGGGTTTCCAAATTTCCAAGGGTGGAATCTGCAAAAGCTCTTTGAGGCACTTGTTCTGCTGCCTCTGCAGTCCAAAGGTTTCCTTTCCATCAACCCAACCTGAACCTCCCTTGCTTTTCCTCTGGTCCAGTTCAGCATACTTTTTGTCAAGGTTTGAGAAGGTTGGAGAAGTGAGTCCCAGGAGGCAGCCACACCCGCCCACAGATTGCCTTCCCCTGTCTATGCTGAGCAAGTCAAACCATGAGAAAGCCACATTTCTTCTTTGACTCTGAACCTCCTGAAGCCCAGCAATGCCCAACCCTGCTCAGAGAAAGCGAGAAAGCTTAACACACACCTGAACTGCTGGGCACTGCACACTCTATCTGTGCTCTGCTCCCTCTCTGCCTTTCCCGCCTGGGCCGAGGAGTTCTGAGAGGCAAGAAGCTCTCCTAGCGGGGCCTGCAAGGAATGGACATGGAAAAGGAAAACAAGCAATAAGGAGCAGGGAAGTTGGCTCCTGAGAGCTGCAAGAAGCAACAAGCGGCCACACACAGCTCACCTGAAGGCAAAAGCTGTTGTGTGGGGCTGTTTATGTGGGTAACCAACTAAGCCTGTGTTGCTTGGAATGGCTCAGGATGGAAGCAGGGAATATTTCCCTGCTCAGCTCTGGTCAAAAGGCTTCCCCTCAGGATTTCAAGCATTAGGAAGCAGCCAATAGGAACTGCATTCCAGCCCTTCTGGAATGTCTCAGCCATGCAGAGCTGCTCAGGATTCTCAGCATACTTGGCTCTTGTCAAAGTTAAGGGTGTAGTCAAAGAAGAGACTGTAGCTCCTTAGACAGTGCTTGGAGATGGGCAAGTCCCTGCAGCAACGGTGGCTCCTGTGCTCCCCACAAGGCTGTGAACTGCGCCTTGGCACCGCTCTCCCTGCTGGCAGCAGGGAGCCTGCACAGACACTGTGCACAACGGGGCTCACTTTCTCCCCAGCAGCACTAAAGGACATCACGCTGCAGCTATTCTGACACCAAGGCAAGTTCACAGTCCCTGTCAGAATGGCAGGAAAATGATGCCTGCATGTGAGAGTTCAGACCCCATTTCCCACGTGTCAGTGGCTGGGCTGAAGCGCTAGGTCATGGCAGAACTCCAGCCCTCAGCATCTTCAGCCACAAAGGGCAAGTGCTGCCTGCTCAGAAACACCCAGCTCTGCACTGCACCAAAGCTTTGCACTGAAACAACCAAAGCTGCCACTGATTGCTGCAGGATGCTCAGGCCTGGACTGACAACACAGTTGGAGGTTTGTTGTGCTTTGCCTCCCCTTTACCCTCTGGTGGAAGAGAGCGAGCCAGAGCAGCTTCTGCTGCTGCGGCTGCTACTGTGGTGCTCTGCAGACAGAGAGCAGCATGAGGGACAGGCAGTAAGCTGTCATAGAGAACCTTATTTCTCCTGAGCTCTATCACCAGTGGTCCTAATGAGAAGCCATGAATTTCAATACAGATGGGATCCTCAGTCTCTAATACTCATTTCAAGTGGGCTGATGAGACTAATGTTTCAACAGGACTCCATGTGCTTCTGAAGGAGATATTTCAGCCAGGCTACAATCAGCATGTAGCCTTCTGTCAGCTAAACGTAGTTTCATCAGTTACATTAGTTAAATCCTCTTCAACAGAAAAGGAAGAAACTGAGGGAATTGTTTGGGTAGTGCACATGCAGACGTGGACTGGTGTGGACTTTCCTTTGGCCTGCCAGCCTGGACTCAACTACAACAGGCCAAGCCCGCAGCTTGCTGCATAATCCTCAGGCACCAGGAATGTCAAGGGTGCCCGTCCCACTCACCGAACCGTAGACTTGACTCCTTCCACCTCTGAGGCGACCTGCCGCGGCAAGAGAGAACAAACCAGGTGCTGTTACAAGACTGCTGGTGCTGAGGAATGCCACAGAACCAGGCCAGCCAAGCAGAGAGCATTTTCCTTGCACAACCTCCCTACCGGGAGCAGCAGTTCTGTAGCCCAGCAAGCAGGACTGCAGGCCAGTATCCTAGGCTGCGTCTACCTTTTGCTCGGCTTTGCCACTAAGGAACTAGAGACTTGGGGCCAGGAAGATGCAAATTGTTCCTTAGCAGTCACTGCCTGCATTGGAGCTCTTTGTCCCCCCTACAACTAAAGCAGCTTCCTTCTCTTCTCCTTCCTGCACTTCCTTTTCTTTTTGTAAATTGCATGCAGCATGTGCCCCGTGGTTGCTGTAAACAATTCCCCACAAAAGCTTCCACTGAACCCCTCTTGGCGCTTGCAGCTTTGTTTGGACACAGCACAGGCCCAGAGCTGGGGTTCAGGAGCCCACACTATCTGCTCAGCAGTTTGCCCTTCACTGCAAAGCCAATCCCTCTTGTAGCGCACAGAGGGGGGCCAGTTAGAGAGGCACGTCCTTTAAGGAGGGAATGCAGAAAAACGATGCCTTCCTTAAGTTCCTCAGAGAACTGCACAGTTTTCAGAAGGACACCTGCACAACTTTTCCAGTCTGCATTTTGGAAGTTGTCCACACCCTGCTGGACAAGGGACACCCCCTTTTTGGCTGAAACTGTTGCCAGGAGCTTTATCAAAGTTATGGCATCTTCATGGCACTTTTCTTTCATTGTTCTGCCCCCAAGGAAAAAACTTCTACTTACGTCTCAGACCGCTAACAATTTTGCGGGCTGATATCGCTGAAAAAGCCCTGCTGACTGCTCTACGGACTCGCTCCATCGTTTCAGCAGGGCTGCTTCAGTCGTCGGGCCGTAAAACAAAAATGGAAGAAAAACTCACTTGCACAAGTCCCCAGACTGTGCAAGGAAAAGAAGAAAAAAGGAGACCCGCGGCACTCTGCGGACTGTACAAACAGAAGCGAAAAAACAAACGACACCTGCACAAGTCTGCAGACCGTACAACAAGAAAAGGAAAATAAAAAGACACCTGTAGGTGTCTGCAGACCCTACAACCGCAGGGGAAACAAAAGGATGCCTAGACGAGTCTGCGCCGACTCGTACAACAGCAGGCAAAAGAAAAAGACTCCCTTTTCAGGGCACAGACTGTTGGCAGAGAACTCCTCTGAACAGGATCCTCCTGCAACGAGAACGCCAACAGCTGTTCTGGACGTTGAGGCCTTGCCTGCACCAGGGCAACCTCCTGATGACCACGCTGTGACGTGGCAGCTCTGCACTGACATCACAATAGCAGCAGCTCTGGGTTGCTCTGTCAGTTCATGCCTAGCAACCAAACCTTCTCTACAGCTAACACAAAAGAGAGCCTGGAAAGTTCTCCTCCGTCCCAAAGCAGCACAATCCTCTCCTTCAGTCCATAACCCGTAGCTCAAGGGATCCCAAAGGAACACAAAGCAGGCACCAAGCGCGCACACACACAGCACTTTGGCCACCAATGCTTCTGACTAAAACAAGCAACCCTTGCTTCAGCTCTGTGGATAAAATCACGCCTTGGTAATATCCCTGAGAGTTCCCTAAATTGGATTGCCTCTCCTTCCTGCCCACTTCCTGCATGGCTAACATCTACCAGAAAACTCTAGGGCTCGCTCAAGGAAGAACGACACCTTAGTGGAGAAAGTAACCTGAGTAACAAACTACCCAGAGGTGTTTGCATGGCACTGGAAAAGTGTTGGTGTTGTCAATATGACAGGGACACATCCTCTGCACCGGGCAGTGCCCGTGTCCTCGGCATGGCAGGGAGTGCCCTTGGAGCAGCCCTCACTCTGTGGGTGCACGCATGGGCGCATTTGCTCCTTCTCTCCAGCTCCCAAGGCAGCTCTTCTCCTGAAAAAGTTCTCTGTCCAACACTGAAGGCACTCCTGGTGCCTTTGCAGAAGCCCACTCCCTTCAGCTTGTGGGAAATGGGCAAGGTCAGATTCCTCCACGGAAGCGGCTTTTAAGTCTCTATCCTGCCCACAGTGCATACTGCATAGTACTCCATTTTTCAGTCCTTTGCTGCACTCTCATTTCTGGCCTGCAGGAGCTTAGTACATTGATTGCGCTTTTCCTGGGCCAACTTAGTTTTTCCTTCCTGGATGGCACAGCTCACAGAACTGCAAACTCCATGTCTGCTGGGGATGGCTGCAACCACCAAATGGGGCAAATGATCCAAAGTTCAGGTTTTGTGCAATGCTCCGCTGTCATTTCATTCTAGACTTCCCCACAATATGCCACAGGCAGGAGCAAACAGGTGCCACTGCCATGGGGAACCGGAGAAGGCCGCAGGTCAGGAACAGGGCCTCAGCCCATGGCTACAGGAAGCAGAGGAATTTGCAAGGCAGGTGAGTGCTGGGGATGCTGGAGGCCTGCCAAGCTGCCTGCTCTTGTCTTGCTGCTGAAAGCCTGAACTGCAGTGCTCTTGAGAACAACACCTCAATCCCACTGGAATCAGCATTTCTTACAGAGATTGGCATGTGCTGAGGAACGATTTACACTGCTCATCCTCTTGGCAGCTAACCCAGGCCATGTTTTAGACAGGAGGGACCTAAGTGAGTCTCTGGAGTTTCCTGCAAGGAACAAAGCCCTGTGACAGCAAGCAGCATTCCCAGGCTGCTCCCACAGGGAAAATCCCAACAAGCTGAAGACTCTGGATAAAGGGGCCACTGTGATTTTGAGCTAAGTTGGCCTGCAATGGCAAGGTGCTGGACATGAAGGTAAGGGGCACAAAGTGCCCTCATGTCCTATTCCTGCATCTTTCCGGGAACCAGAGGAATCCGGCCTCCGCCTGGGAGGAACTGGGCCTGGGAACTAATAGTGCCTTTCTGGTTTGGCTTTTGTAGTTTTTTGTTTTGGACAGCAGCTCTTGCAACATCAGCTGAGCCTGCCTCCAGCCTGGCTGATTGGACCCAGTCAGCAAAGGCCTTGCAGGAAGCCTGCAGAGGAGGCAGCAGGGCTTGAGGAGGCTTTGTGCTGGGCCAGCTCAGCACAGGACTGGCAATCAAAAGGCCTAAATCCTGCACTCCACGGGAACATTCCCTTGCTGGTCAGCCTGCGCTGAAGCTGTGCATTGTCGCGGCACTGTGCATTGCCCTGGCGCTTTGCATTGCCCGGTGCTGTGTATTGCCCTGGCGCTGTGCTTTGCCTCGGCGCTGTGCTTTGCCCTGGCGTGTGCGTTGCCCTGGCGTTCTGCTCTACCTCGGCCCTGTGCTTTGCCCTGGCGCTGTGCTTTGCCCTACAACTGTGCTTTGCCCTAGAGCTGTGCTTTGCCCTGATGTAGCTGCCCGAGGCTCTCCCCCCTCACAGACAGGCCCCGCCCTGCCCCGGGCGTCCCCTGGCGGCTGCCCCGCCCCGCCCACCCCGCACAGGGGCTCTCCTTTCCCACGGCGCCGCCCAGCGGCAGCCGCCCCTCACTGCAGGCACAGAGGAGGGACCGGGCCCTGCTGCTCCTCCCGGCACTTGGCTCCCTCCTTTCCAACACAGAAGAAGACCTCAAGGGAGGCATTTTCCAACTGTGTCCTTCTGCTTTATTTTTGCAAGCCGGAACTCTGCCCTGAAGGTGGCCCTAATGCCTCCGTAAGTGCTGGAGCTGGAAAAGTCTCCTTTGTTCTCCTACCACTTGTCATTACTGGCTCAAAAGCACCGCCAGGCTGTGGAAGGAGAAGCAGCCCGCGGCACGGTCAGGCCATCCCTCCCCAGCCGGGGCTGTCTGGCACAGCAGCAGCAGCTGCAGTGCTTGCTTTGGCTGCCGCTCTGAAGGCTCTTCAGTGAAGGCTGTAAAACTTCAGTGTCCACATCAGTAGGAATAAAGGAATCGCACTCAGATTTCAAATTTTCCATTTCAGAAGTTTTAATCAGATAAAAGTTGAGATCTTCCAAGAGAAGATTGCGTGCATACTGCAGCCAGGGTGAAATGTCTCCTTCAGAAGCACACCTCGGACTGTCTAATGGGTCTCCTGAGCGTGTCTGACATTTAAGGCATAGATTTCAATTTCTTTCCAAACTTGCCATTTCTGCTTAGGACAGCTGGTGATAGAGCTCAGGAGAAATAGGGTGCCCCATTCAGACAGAGCTGCCTGTCCTGGGACACTTGAGGGGCGGTCGGGGGCCGTTCCTGGACCCGGGCCGAGCGCCGCCAGCCGCGTTTGGCCCCAGGGAAGGCACAGGAGGCCCTGCAGGGGTGAAACCGGCTGGGCTCTCTGCTGGGGCACGGCGGCTTCGGCAGCGTCTGCAAGGGGACGTGCCTGGAGCACAGCGCCCCGGTGAGTGGGGGTCTGGCGGGGGGCAGAGGAGGGTGAGGGGGGAGGAGGATGAGGCTCGGCAGAGCGGGCTGGAAGCTCAGCCCGCTGCTCCCCTTGGCTAGCAGGTGGCCGTCAAATGTGTGTCAGGGGATTGCACCCATCTTTGGGGTGAGCTGGTGAGGGAGTGGGGTCAGCAGCAGAAACCAGCTTGTGCTGGGCGGGATAAGCTGAGGCTCGGCAGGGTGGAAGCCGCCAGCACGCCTCGAGGGAGAGCAAAGGGCGATTAGTAGAGGGCACAGAGCATCCCAGGCTGGCTGAGAGCTTCCAGAGCCCTGCTACGGCATCAGTCCCACTGACAGCATCGTGGTCTTCCAGCAGCCCAACTCCTGCGTGCCCCTGGAGATCAAACTGCTGGGCTGGGTGTCCACTGGGTTGCATGGTGTTGTCCAGCTCCTGGATTGGTTTAGGCGCTGCCAAAACTTCTTGTTGGTGATGAAGCGCCCAGAGCGATCCCACGACCTCTTTGATTTCCTTCGTGTGCCGGCATTCCTGTCGGCAGACTGGTGCGGGGGCTGTTCCGCCATGTGCTGGAGGCTGTGAGGCACTGCAGCAGCTGCGAGGTCCTGCACAGGGACATCAAAGCTGACAACATCCTCCTACACCTGGCCAGCGGACAGGCAAAACTGATGGACTTTGCCTGTGGCACCTGCCTCCAAGTCTGCACACAATTTCTAGGTGAGCCCACCCAGGCCTTGGCTCACGGTCCTGGCATCTCATGGGTCAACCTTAAACGGCCCAAGCTGGCTGTGGCACTGGACATTCCCCCTCTTTGCTGCCAGTCATGGGTACACCAATGAGCCACAGAGGTGTGCCTGGAATGGTCAAGGAAGGGATTCTTCCAAATGGCTTGTGGATGTCTAGGATTTTTCTTCTGAGGTGGGCTCCGAGCTGGCATCGGAGAAAGGAATCCTGAAGTGCTCCTGGTCATGTGCTCCACTTCTCCAATTGATTCACTGCCTCTTTCCTTCCTTTTCATTTGAAAAGCATCTGGAGTGGAGAGTTGCATGGTGATCTGTAGGAGGAATAGTAGAAGTCATGAAACAGTCATGATACAACACCAGTATGCCACCAGCCCCAAAGCCAATCCATTTCTCTCAAGAATTTTGTTTCCAGTGACTGCCAACAAGGCAGGAGTCTAAAAGGAAACCGGGAAGCCAACTATTCTGAACAATTTGGCCAGACAAGCACACACGCAGCACCCTGCTCCATGGGTCAAAGAATGCACAGGATGTTTCCAGCCGCTTCAGGCACCTCCTCCGCAGCTGGGAACATCCAGCCGTCTCCCACAGCTCTAGCCTGGCTCTGCCGGTGGCATCCTGTGGGAGCTCCCTTCTCCTGAGACACAGCTCTGGCCTTCCCATTCCCTTCACGCCTGCAATGCCACTCCTGCCTTGCTCAAATCTGCACAACATTAGTGACTTTGTGCCCTCCAGCTATGCTGTCCTAAGCAGAAAATTAGAAGGACCAGCAGATGGGAGAACAGGAGGTGGCACCTTCTTTTCCCGCTCTGTCTCAGTCTGCCTGTTTGCTGGGCCCTCTCTCCCCAGGATTCCTGCCTGTTCTCAGAGGCTCCGTTCTCTTCGTGCTGAAGCGGTCCTTGTCATCTCCTCTGCTTCCTGCATTACTTTGCTGCAGGGATGACAGCAATCAGGCTCTCAGAGGAGGCTGAAGAGAGGCTCCGCTAGCTTGAGAAATGGATGCTGCCCAAAGGGAAAAAGAAACCAAAGCAACCAAATTAAAAGAGACCAAGGGAGAAGGAACCATTATTTTCCAAACTGAGCTTCCAACAGGGTCAAGCTGGGTTCTTCTAGGGCCCAGAAACACACCGACAGAAGGGGCAGAGCGCAGATGGACTCAGCTCTGGCTTGCAAGGAGAGCAGTGTCTGCCTTGGCATGCCCCCCTCCTCCTGGCCTGGCTGGCATCTTCCTTCACAGCAGGGAGAGCCAAGGAAGTGGCGCGGTCGCCAGCTGCCTGTCTGCCACAAAAGGTGGCAGCAAAGCTGCAGTGGTTCTCATCTACTTGAGCGGGCCAGGCAGCACGTGAGGCTGGCACAAATCCTGCTCAGCTGTCTCTCTTTGGCTGGCAGAAGCCTCTAAGAGTGGGGCAGGAAGGACAAACTGGATGCCCTTGGATGCTCAGTCAGCCCCCGCAAAGGCCCCACCTTCCCACAGACCAATCTAGAACCGCTTGGCAGGGAGTGCTTTTGTTGTGTTCTTCAAGCCCCACTGCAGGCCTCCTTCCCCAGCACTGCTGTACTTCAGTTCCTTTGCTACCAGCTAAACCTGAAAACAGCAGCCGAGAGCAAAAGGGGGCCTCAGCAATGACCAGAAGGTGGGAGCTCTCCTCTGAGGAATGGCTGTGAGAATTGGGCTTGTTTAGCTTGCAGAAGGGCAAGGTCTCCAAGGGGACCTTTCAATATTTGAAGGGGCCTAGAAGAAAGATGGCGACATATCTATTAGTAGGGCCAATTGAGAGAAAAGGGAGAATGGTTTTAAACTAAAAGAGAGTCAATTCAGAAAGGCTCTAAGGAAGAAACTCATTATGAGGAGAGTGCTGAAACACTGGCTCAGGCTGCCCAGAGAGCTGGGAGGTGCCCCGCTGTCAGCATTCAAGGTCAGGTGAGCTGGGGCTCTGAGCAACCGGACCTATTTGAAGATGTCCTTGCCAGTGGCAGGGGGTTTGGACTAGATGACCTCCACCACTCCCTTCTAACCTTAACTAGTCTTGGATCCTACTTGGTTCTCATTTGAAAAGCTGCCAGAGCAGAGATTACCCTGTGGGGGGCCCATCTGATGCCCTGGAGTTGGGCCGAGGAGCAAACCCAGACAGGGAGCAGCTCTTTGGCCTGCAGCCCCTTTGCCTTGTACCTGCAGAAGTTCCTTGGCAGAGCCTCGCCTGTCCACATCCATCTGCAGGCAGCAGCCCAGAAATTCACACAAGGCAGGGGGTAGGCTGAGCTCGTGCAGATCTGGTATGCCTTGCGTGCCTATCAGGCGGTTAGCCTGAAGTGAAAGGAAACACAAGACTCTACGTGATTCTTCCACAGCCTTCAGTGCTCACCTAGACCCCTTCTTTTCAACCCCAGTCTGCAGTGGCAATTCCTTGCCTAGCAGATGGTTAGAGACGAGCCTTCTTCCCCAAAAGTGAAAAGGCCCCAGTGCAACTCCAGCTATTCCAAGGGGCAACAGGTCTTGCCTTGACAGCTGATGTGAGCCGCAGGGACCTTTTTAGGAGTGGACCTTCTTGGAACTCATCCAAGCTGCGGGAATGGGATTTTGTCTAATGGAGACAGACCAGAAGGATACCGGATTCGGAAGCATATTTGTACCTTACCCTGTCACTGGTCTCCCAAACATAAGGAGGCTCTCCTTTGGCCATTTCAATTCCCACGATGCCAAGGGACCAGGTGTCCACTTTGGGACCGTAAGGCTCTTTTCTCACCACCTCGGGTGCCATCCAGCAAGTTGTCCCCACCATTGACCTCCGTTCACTCTGCTCAGGTGTGAGCAGAGCACAGAGGCCAAAATCAGCTGAGGAGAAAAACAAACACTGCTTCAAGTAGGAAACCAAGGAAAAGATTTCCTCACTCTAAGTCTCAGAATGTAGTACTGAATCGAGCTGGAAAAGCAGCTGTGCTCTCTTTCCTCAGGGATGCAGCCAAGGAAACTAGCAATTGTCCATTTAACAAACCCACCACCATTCCCAGGGTGGTGGCTTTTCCTCATCTACACTGAAGGTTTCCACTGTAGCCTCCCTCCCTCTGGAAGGGATACACACAAACCACAGTTCCCCTTGATACTTGTTGCTCTTTCAGACTCCCAGCAGCCTACAGCTGCGCCCTGAGCAAGAATACCCACCCAACTTGACGGAGCCATCCCGGCCCAGAAGGATGTTGTCGCTTTTGATGTCTCTGTGGATCACCTGGTTGGCATGAAGGAAAGCCAGGCCTTTCAGGCACTGAGAGAGAAAAAAAGAAGCAGGAGGCCAAAAGTTAGCCTGATCTCAGTTCATCACGCACAAAAGGAAAGTGCTCCTGAAGATTCATGGATCTCAGAGGAGCAGTGAGTGCTGGCAAGAGGAAGAGCTTGCTGCTGCAAGCCTGGGAGCGCAGGATCTCTCTAAGGCAAGGCATATTGGCCTTGAGGGGGAAACAGCAGTTGCTGCTCGAGACTGTCCCCTGCAAAGCCAGTCAGAATGACCGCTGCTGCAGCCGATGCGCTCTCCCCATTCCGAGGACAAACAACGGTTGGCCAAAAGAGGAAAAGTCCCTGCTCTGGGTACCAAGGGCATCACTCTCAGGTGAGAGACTGGAGGTAAAGGGCTGTAAGGCTGCCTGGCCAGCAGATTTGAAAGACATTTCAAGTCATTTGTCCGTTTTCAGCAGCAAGAACCGTGGTGGGTGCCATGCCCTCCTTTGAAGCTGAGACCCGTGAGAGATGAGTCTCTCTTTGCCTTTGCTGTTGGTTTAGAACTCACACACCGGCATCTTTGCGCTTACAGGCAAAGAAGGCAATGCAGAAAGGTTCTGGGCAAAGGCTTGGAGGGGCAAAGCACAGAACAGAAAACAAAATAATTGAAGAGAGACAGAGAGCACAGAGGCCAAAAGCAGATAAAGAGCAGACTATAGTAAGGGCAGGGACACTGGCAGGCATTCCGTCCAGATGCTCTTTCTTCTCTGAAGCAAAAGAGCGGCACAGCAAGAAAGCTCTGAACACGGAATCACTCACTTAGTGGCGCTTTTGAACTATGAGGCTGTCCAAGGCATCCCAAGCACAAGCAGGATCCCTTACCTCCTGACAGACAGTTGCCATGTGTCCTACAGCCATCCTTTTCTCGCTGACCACTTTTGCTAAAGAGCCTCCATCCATGTACTCCAACACCAGCAGGACAAACTCATTGACAAGGTAGCTGGAAGATGAAAACAACAGCGTAGACCGAAATGGGCACAGCTAAATTGCCATACGGATGAAAAGACTACAGCTGAGTTTTGCTTGCAGGTCACTGGGAAATGAAGACGGAATAAAATGGAGACACGCTCCACCCAGGCTATCCAGAGCTTGCAATCTGTGCCATCTAATCGCACACCCGTGGGAAAGGAGACGGCTTAGCGGGCAAGCAGGGGAAAACGGCAGTTTGTGATAGCAGAGGCAGATCTGGAAGCGGACACATCCCAGCAGCTGCCCCATTGCCTTCATACACAAATTGCACCATTAACTCCAACAGCAAGGAGACACAGTTTTCACAGCTTTTTCACAGGGGAGGTGGAGGTGCAGCACTGCCAACACCCTTTGGGAAGCCTTGCATAAAGGACAGTCACCAACAGGAAAAAACTACTTCAAACCCGGCAAATAATGTGTCTCTTTGGCTAGCCTTTTGGCATGCAAGGCAATAGAAAATAGTGGGAACAGCACAAGGGAAATAATTTCTGGGTTGCTTTCTCAGCACTTCTCTTCCGACACTCAGAAAAACAATCACGCCCCAAAACAGCAAAGGAACATTCAGCAAGTGAACATCGAGGCTGCTGGCTTAGTAAGAGAGCCAGGTTTCTGAGAACTATCTTTAAGCTATTTCTGCCAGGAACCAGAAGAATGCAATCTCCTCCCATGCCTCATACAGCAGTGGACTGATGTTCATAGCAAGATCAATTTTCTGCCACCGAGCAAAGTGCTTGAAACCTTTGTCTTGCAAGTATGGAAACTGACATTCCCATAAAAATACAGAACTACTTACCTTTCTAGGTAGGTGACAATATTGGGGTTCCTCATTTCCCTCATGACCAGGATTTCTTTCAATACTTCCTTGCAGCGCTGGTGCTGGAGATTAATTTCCTTTACGGCCACCTACAATGACGTTGAAAGCCGTTAGGAACAGACATTACAAGAGCCTCTTCCTCCGTGCACTCACGGGCCAGGATGCCTTGTCACCTCGGTGAAAAGGGACTCTAAAGCATCAGCCACAATGTGCTAACAGCACTCTCAGCCCTTGCAGACTCCTCCGTGAGACCTCCTTTCTCACTACTCTTATCATTTACACGCGTTTTGCAAGCCAAAGGAATTTTGCTTCTGTGAAATGAAACTCAACTTGTGGAAAATAGGTTAGCATTTCTAGGGGATTTGATCAGTGTTTCAGAAACTGCTGCCATTCTTGATTGTGCTCCAAAGTAAATACACCAATCCATTACAGAGAAAATGCTGTCTGAAAAAGAACAACTCCAAGGCAACTCAAAGGAAAGTTAACATCCTAGCACATCCTAACTTCTTCTGGATTTTGCATCTCTGAAGAGCATTCCCCAACACGGTTTAGATGTGTAATGATTGAGTGCATTAAAAAATGAAGAATCCTTTCTGTGGACCACTACGGATGCACTCCAGGTGATAAGCAGGGCTTAGGGCTTTCAGACTCCTTGTAGACATCCCTCCAAGTGCAGTTGCTGAGCACAGCACTGCAGGTGGATAAGGAGCTACCAGGAAGATGGAGTTGTATTTGCTGAGAGCCAGAAAGGAGAATTCAGGACTCTGAATGGTTAGCCCCAAAGAGCATGGGACTCTCCAAGACACCAGTATGTCAGTTCAGCACAAAAAGCATCTCTGTAATGGAATGTCAGCAACAAAGGACCAACACAAGGCGGTATTACTTAAGGCTCTTCATCAACTTCTTCTCACTGATCCGTGTGCCAGTGTCTGTGTGTGTGTGTGACCCTGGCTCCCTAGGACTGCAAGGCAAAAGTGCGCTCCAGACAAGGCCTCTCCTTCTTTAGGTCTTTTCAAAGTGTACCTCGTGATGGGAAACAATGGCAAATCCTATCTGTGTCTCAACCTGGGCTTAAGAGCAATTGGGCCAGAATGACGGCTGCTGCCATCAGCTAATCTCTGCACACTTATCCAGTCAGTCCAAGACAGCATGGTCTTCTTGGAAAGACACCACTGCCATCCTCACATTGATTCAGAATGCGAGACAAAGTCTGTCCACCATGCATTTTCCAGCCTGCCTCTAGGCAGCCTTTGCAGCAAAGACCGGTAACACAAAGCTCTGGCCACAGATGACATCCCAAGGGAAAGCGCTCAAGAGCTGCGAAATCTGCAAGGGCTGTTGGCACTTACCGCTTGTCCTGTGGCAGCATCCAAGGCCTTATAAACGGTTCCAAAACCCCTAGGAACAGAACAGCAGCAAGAACAGAGGAGCTGTTCAGTGCTGAGAAGCAAAAGGCAGCCCAGGCAGGAGCTCTCTGCTGCCTGGAGCGTCCCTCAAACACCAGCCTTTGTCTACTCTTCAGACAATACCACAGCAGCCCAGCAACCCTCTGCCATGCAGCTTGTCCAAGAGCAAACTGAGTCCAACAGGAAGAAAAAAGAGCTGCTACAAATCTCAAATGTACACACTAGACTATGGATGTGAGGGTTTGCTTTGCCTCTTCCTTTTTGCGCTTGTGCGTGTGGGGCGCCTTTCCAAGCCATGAAACACACACAGTCCTGTTGCACTCAGAGCTCTCTTTTGATTCTGCCTGCCAAACTCAGGCAGCGCCACACAGCCTGTCTTATTGTCCTGAGCACTGAAAGTTGTGTTCAGCAAAATACTGGAAAGAAATGCTGCTGAGAGCTGCTGTCTGACGGCTCTCAGGGGGGAAGCTGCTCTCTCAGTTTTTTCTTCCTTCAGTTGTGGGGCCATATTACTTAGAATCAGGCAAAACCATGATCTGCTGGGAAAATAAGGAATCTCGTGCCACACGCTTGAGGGACAGGCAAGTGCCTCCTTGAGGGCAGGCAAGACATTGGTTGCCAGCATGCAGTTATCTTTGATGATGCCTTGTGACCAGTACTGAGACAGGGACAATCTAAAGCCAGGGTCTGAAGATGCTTGCAGCTTGCCTGACTTCCCTCTTGATATTCCAGCAGCCACGTACGTGACTCATGGTTCTGGAGGAGTAAGCGTGGCTGAACTCACCCCCTGCCAATAATTTTCCATCCAGTGTATTTCTTTTCTGGATCTGCCCCGCTCACCACACTCCCTGAAAGAAAGAAAATGCAAGAAGCAAACTTCAAAACAGAGATCCTGACTTCCAGTGGATCAGAATCTCAGCTCCACTCTCAGGGGCTCGGAGCAATTTCTGGTCGGTTGCCTAACAACAGTGTCAACAAGAACAACAAGAGCAGCCGCAGTAAGAAGACAGGCAGCTCTGTAACACACGTGGCCTGCACAGAGTCTGATTCTGCACAATCCTCTGAAGAGGAGACTAAGCCCGCGGAGAAACCGTCAGAGCAGACAGAGACCAGAAAAGAACTGGCACCGTGGCAAGTGCTTGTGGTCCACAAAGGGGAAGGAGGGCTGAAAAATCAGGACCCTTCATTCTCCTGAGAGATAACACTCTCTTGTGAGGTTCAACAAAAGGTTTCAGAATTCCAAGATTTCAATGCACCCTGCCATCTGGGATGAAGTTTTATCAACAGCTGCTTTTTGCAGAGCTGAAGGAATATTGCAAAGTGAAATCCAGGAGAGGAGGGGATTTCCTCTACCTCGCAGCAGTTTGCCTAAAGAATGCCTTGACATTTTCAGAGAACAGCAGCTCATGCTGTGCTACATCCAAAACAATGGCTGTAAGAATTAGGACCCTCTTCTGTTACGAGCAGGCTAAGTTCTGAAGATGATTTTGCCCATTCCCCATTTAGTGAAGAACAACAAGTCCATGTCTTCAGCCTGGGCTGCAGCAGTCACTGGCACTGCCCTTGGCCCCTTGGACACCAGCCACGTGCCCCATCTTCCCCAAGGGCACAGCCCAGACGGGTAACAAGGACAGCGCCGCTCCTCAGGCGCTGCCGTGGCTCAGACACCTGCACAAACGAGCTGCTGATCCTCTGACGAGTCCAGGCAAAGCTGCAGCAACGCGGTGGCTGCTGAAACCTCACAGCTAAGGAAGGCTCCAGCCCCTGCAGTCACAGCAGCCATCAGTGGCAGGGCAGGTATGACCAAAACCTGGGCAGAGCCCACAAATGGCCACTGACAGGCACTGTGAAGAAGCCAGAGCCAGACTGAGCACTGCTACAAGCTGTTGACCCCACTGGAGACACAACATGGGTGTCACTGAGTTCAGAGCCAAGCAGGAGTCCATCCATTCACCTCTTGTCCCTACAGCTGATGGCCGACACTGAGTAAACTGGGCTCTGTTCTGTACCTGCCCGCTTCTTATTCTCTGACAGCGCTGCACTGGCAGCTATGACCAGTTGCAAGGAGCAACTGAGTTGCACTGCAGAGTCACCAAGGCCTTGCTGTGCTTTCCAAGAGTGCAGGGATTGAGGCCAATCCTTACTATCCCAAGAGTATTTACCGGCTGGGCTTTAGCCCTGACAAAGTGCCTTCTACTGGAGGAAGATGCAGCAGAGGGGCTGCAGGCTTCCTCCTGAGAATTGCCTGCAGGGCAGTTTTATCTGGCCCTGCCACATAGAAGTGTCTCTTGATGCGTCTCCCTAGGCATACAACTGAACTCTCCAAGAGGGATTGGAAAAACAAATTGTGTTTTTCTTTGTTGGCTGCACTGTGAAAACACCTCTTGCTCTCTGATTCCCAGGGATTGTTCTAAGAATACAATTTCTTAACATTTGGGGTGTGCTGAAAAGACCCCTTCCTCTGTTGTTTTGCTATCACCTGAAGCTCCTTCCAAGGAGGTCACACTAACAAAATTGTAGAATTTTTATCCAAGCAAACTGTAGAAGGAATAGTAGAAGTCATGAAAACACCACCAGTATGAAACCAGCCCCACAGCCAAACAATTTCTCTGAAGTCTTTTGTCTCCGAATGCAGTCCAAAGGCAATCTAGGAAGCCAACTACTATGATCAATATGGCCAGACCAGCACACACAAGCTGACTCAGTCATTGGCTAGGTTGCAGCCTTCTGCTGCTCAGGAAACAATCCCTGCTTTTGCCTTTAGCGCACATGGAACCTCAGGCAAAGGCCACCCACACCCAGCTGCCCTCAAAGGCAAAAGGAGTGCCCCAAAATGCTCCCTGGCTGCCTCCAAGCACAACAATGGCTCCTGTAGGGAGTCCAGAATGTCTCCCCGACACCAGGGTCAGGAGGAAGATGCGCTACAGCTCATCTTAGGCACACACCCCATAATAAACTGCTGGATTGCACAAGAAATCCCCAGGACTTACTCAGCAGCCTCAGGCACTGCTTCTCGCTCTCCTGGCCGGAGCGGAGCCAGCTGCTCCTGCTCGGGTTCTCAGGCTGCGGAGGGGAGGCTTCTTCGGAGGGTGCTGCTGCAGCGGCGCCTTCAACGGCAGAGCCCTCGTCCATCTGGGACAAGAAATTTGTTTGTGTCAGAAAAGTGGCTGGCAGAGATGCCCCTGACAGCACATTTCACAGGCATGCCATCAGGAACAACACTGGTGTTTGGCTGCACACTGAGCTGTCAACTCTTCCACCTCAAGTCAAAGCCAAACAAGCAGTCAGAGACTACAGCTTGTCACAGCCAGCCATAGTAGAGATGGTGAAAGGGAAAGAAGACCTTAAAATTTCACCCCGTTCTGAGACCTGCATTCGCCATGGAAAGGGACAACTTGTTCAGAATGTGCATGGGTCACCACGTTCACCTGAGCAAACTCCTCAATAAACAAAGTGGGCACTAAGAAGCCAGCAGAAATACATTCACAGGATTGCTGGCCCACCAGCCAAAGCACTAGCTTTGATGCCCAGGGCAGCAAAGCTGTGCTTCAGTGGCCCAGTAAGTGTCGTGCTGGCGAGCTGCAACGCAGACCACAGAGCTTGGCAGTCAGGGGCCTTGCCCCCATCCACCTGCTGCTCTGCAGGGGAAAGGTGAGAAGAGCAGAGACCACTTGTTGCATGACTGCAGTGCCTACTGCTCTCTCACTCACCTGCTGTTGTTCTGCCAGCCTGTACTGCAGCTGGATCCTGCACATCCTTTCCATTTCTTCTATGCACCTCTCCTCCACTGCCTTCATCACGCTCCAAGCTTTCTGCAGCTCTGCCTGCATCTTGTCCTTGATATTCTGTCAAGAAAAGTCTCACTAGCTCCTGCCATCATGCTCAGCCTTCTCAATTCCAAGTCTCGTAGGCACTTCCATTCTGCTTCTCCACCCAGCTCTCACTCTTTCACCTCAACTCTTCTTCCTGGTGCACAGCGCTGGAGCCTGCCCGGCTCTGTGCTCCCAGTGCCTGCAGTAGTCCTTGCCTCCCCTTTCCTGAGATGTCCAGCTCATGCCCCATCACTGCCCTTCCCTCTGCACCCTGCCTGGTCAGGCTCACCTGCCCATTCAGACGCTCCGCATTCAGCTGCTGCCTCAGCTGCTCCAGCTGCTGCCGGCTTTGCTCTAGCTCCCATTGCAGCTGCTGCACCTTGGCTAAGACAGCAGCATTCTCACCCTGGAGCTGCACAGGAACAAAGAGAAGACGCCTTTCAATGTCCCACACACCACTTGTGTGGCCACCAAGATTGAGGTGCGCGCGCTGTCCAAAAACACTTTGTTCTCCTCCTCATGTTCACCACGGGCCAGCTAAGAGGCAGTCCCACTCAGACAGACAGTGTCCACAGAAGCAGTGCCCATAAGGAGCCCAGAGGAGACCAAAGCAACACACAAACTCTCTTTTCACACTCTGTGCTGCCTCTTGACTGGCTTTGGTTCCTATCTTTTCTTGTTCAGGTTGCCTGATGGCAACATCCTGCTTCATCTCAAGCAGCCTTTTCTCCTGCTCCCTCTGTACCTCTGCCAGGAAGCTTTCCCGTTCCTCCAGCATCGCCTGCGCCTCCAAGCGCTGCCGTTCCAGACATTGCTTCTGAGGAGAGGAAGAGACACTTCCAGATGAAGTCCCTGCCGTGCTCCCCAAAGAAAAAAATGACAGCTTCATCCCTCCCACAAGCCCCCCACCTGAAGAGTCCCCAGTAGTGGCTTTGTGCCCTCCAGCACTTCTAACCAGGAACTTCACAGGAGGGTCAGCAGGTGGAAGGAAAGGAGATTCCGCCTTCCTTCCCCACTCTGAGGGCTGCCTGTTTCCTAGCCCCTGTCTCCTCAGGATTTCTGCCTGCTCTCACAGGCTGTCTTCTCAAAGTGCCGCAGCCCTAGGATCAAGGAAAACCTGCAGGTGGACTGCAGCATGAGGAGGAAGCCAGCACTCCAATGCCCTAGTCACAAGACAGGCCACCAGCTGGAATACCAGCAACACGGGGCCTGTTGCGTATGCTTCAAGCCCAAAGGGGAGACTCTCTGTCCACCGTGGAAGGACAGAATGCAAGGAACCCAGTTGCTGGGACTGCAGAGTGCAGCAAGGTCAGCAGCCGTCTGCTTCATGGCACCAGGCTGTGGGCAAGATCCTTCGCTGCCATGCTTTGGGTGGCAACCACCCAGCTCTCTGGGGAACTTGGCTTACACCCAGCCTGAAAGCGAGGCTGCAGGTACTGTCCCGGCACCATCCTCTTGGTCTTCACAGGCTTTCTAGTAGGAGCCCTTGAAGCCCTCTGCTGTGTGTAGCCCAGTAATGTGTAGACTACAGCAGATGCTTGCTGCCATGTCACCCAGGCTGCTCTTCTGCTAAGCCAGCCCACCAAGTTGGCCTGAAAACTTCCGTGCATATTGTCGCTTACCATTTCTTGCTGGAGCTTCCTTTTTTCCTCTTTCTGAGCAGATTGCCAGTGTCTGAGAGCCTTGCAGCACTGCTCTTCTGCCCAGCGGAGCTCTTGAGCCATTTCTTCACATTGCTGCTTGCTGAGAGATCTTACAGCTTGCAGCTCCTGACGGAGGCCCTTCACATCCTCTGCAAACATGACAAACGGCAACAGTCAGAGACTACACAAGCGGAGACTCTACTGACCTGAAGCCCTTTCAGTCTCAGGCAAGGAGGGACCTGTGCTCAGTTCCCTTCCTCCTCAGGAGCCCTGTGGACAGAGCTGCCTTTGGAGCAA